AGAACTACAAAATGATGTTTTCTTTGAAGTGTTATGTCAAGCTTCACGATTTTGAATGGCTTACTAATAAAGTTGCTTTTGGTCATTTATTAAGTTTGTATCTGTCAGGAAGGATTGTCACACTTTGGGGGCAAGTGAGAAACAACTACATTTAATATGAGTCCTGAATCAAATCCTAGAAAAAGGTGTGAAGTTTAGTGAGTGGTGTGGTACCCTGTCCATTCCCTGCGCTTGGTAACTGGTATTACAGTTCTAAAAGATGTGATATTAAAGGAAGAAACGTGAGGGGGTAAGGAGCTTCTGTGTTCCATTTTTAAAACAATTTTCTGATGTTTAAAATTAACTCAGAATAAAGGCTTAAAATTATCATACACAATGATTGGGTAGCACATGTTACGATGATCAGTTTAAACTTAGAAACTATAAAAACAAAAGAACTTCACGTGACACCTGGCGATTGAAATTTGTGAAAACAGTGTCAGACAGTTCTGAGAGGGTGGTCCAAAGACGTTCACACTGTACATGACTTTAAAGGGAAGGAGGCGGTGAGAACGAGGGAAATTCTTAAGTTACCTGAAGTTAAGTTCATTAGTGCGGAGAAGCTCTGCTAACACGAAGCTGTGTACCACCAGGCTGCATGCCACTGGTTGCTGGAGCAGGGGTGAAGTCTGTGGGTCACATGTGGCGAGTGCTCAGCCATAACCTCTGTGAAGACGGTGGCTGTACATGCCTTGGCGCCCAGGTCTAAAATCAGCATCTTTGCCTCATTTTCTTTTTGAAGTTTTAGTAATGATTTTTTATATGTATATGGGTATTTTGATGCATGTATGTCTGTGTGCCAAGTACGTGCCTGATGCCTATAGAGACCAGAAGATGACATTGGATCCCCGTGAACTTGGAGTTAGAGACAGTGGGCCCCCCCCCCCCATGTAGGTGCTGGGAGTCAAACCAAGGCCAGGACTTTTTAACAGTTGAGCCATCTCTCTAGCCTTCCTGCCATTTTCTTTTGCCCAGTTTAAGAGTTTAGTTTCCCAGGCAGCCTCCTCACATGTACAGATGCCCTGGTGCCCTGGTGCATCCCCGCCCACCCCCGCAGCCCGCCCATTTGAGTTGGAAACATTCCCTACCAGTTGCTTTTAGCCATAATTGTCTTCTCGTCCTCACACTTAACTTTGTGAGCAATAAGCTCCCTCTCTCTCCTAACTCCTGTGTTTCTTTCACTAGCACAACAAGGGGAACCATTGTCCCCATTTGATGGATGTGGGCACAGAAGCACGCCCATGCCATGTGGCTGCTGAGGAGTCACATGGCCAGGAGATAGCTAGGGTGGGATCTGCACTTGGCCACTTTGGTTCTTTTGGTTTCAGTGTAGAGGCTCAGCCGCATGCTTGAAAACACACACACACACACACACACACACACACACACACACACACACACAGCAAAGCAAGAATACAGCGGTAAGGCATCTGTTAGTGTACCTGGAAATGATGTGGAATGCAGTAAAATTGACATTTGCTGTCGTTTGGGGAGCTTTGACCTCTATGCATGGCCTTTAATCTTAGCAAATCACCTGCTTATATAGTTAAAGAAAAATATCCAGGTCCGTCTGAAGGTGCACACCTTTAATCCTAACACCTGGGAGGTAGAGGCAGGGAGATCTCAATGTGTTAAAGGCCAGCCAGATGGGATGCATAGTGAGACTCTGTCTCAAACAAATGAACAAACAAAAGCACCCCCCCCAAAGCTTGTCCGGCACTGGGACAGTGGGCCTGTAAATGTTTAAAATGGAAGAAACAGTGTTGTGTGACTGGGGTAGAGTGTACCTCTGGGAGTCTGCAACATTGAATCCGTCTAGCTGGTCTATGACATGGACCTGAGCTGCCCTGAGTTGACAGAGGAGTTGCCACGGGGTACGCACTACTCTGAGAATTAGTTAAATAGAAAGTTGGTAAGATGCATATATTAGCACTTAGAGACTTGATAATCGTCACAATTTTAGGAATCAATCAGTACTGATTCATTCATATATGGAGACATTCATCTCGATCTTTCCATTTTCTTGGGCCAAAAAGAAAAAAAAATCCCTGTTTAAGAGGTGAGAAAAGAGAAAGGAATTTTCCTGTCTATTTTTACACACAACACAGAAACCACCCATTCTGCTGTAGAAGCCCCTTATTGTCCCAGTTCTGTGTGTAGTTATGGCATGTACTAAGGTAAAGTTTTAAACAGAAGCAGCTCGTATTTCCTTTACTTTTAAAGTTTGTGAGGTCTGGGCTGTCAGCACATACTTGATTTAGAGCGTCCAAATGCCACAGCTTTCTAGTCTGACCCCTCCCTCCTGCGTTCCTTCCTTTTTCTTACTATCAGCCCAGAATCTGCCTCAAACCCATGATCCCCCTGCCTCAGCCTCCATGCCAGCTTACGTTTCTGTCGTTCATTTCATTTTATTTGTTTTGTTTTTGAGTCAGAGTCTCACCGTGTAGTCCTAGCTGGCTTAGATCTCAGTTTAGACCAGGCTGGCCTCAAATTCGATATTTACCTGCCTCTGTCCGTGGGATAAAAGCCGTTTTGATTTCCCCATACTCTTTGTTCCCATTGAGTTCCTTTTGTCTCTCCAGTTTTACTATGTAGCCTGGTAGTTCTAGAATTCACTATGTAGACCAGGCTGGCCCTGAACTCACAGAGACCGACCTACCTTTACCTCCCCAGTGCAACCCCACTTGTAGGCTTGAAGTTTGTTTTTCTTTTTTAATGCCTATACATTTTTTTAAAAGAGAGATTGTTTCTTGACATTAACATTAAAAGAATATGCTAGATGTTTCTTGTTTCTCAAACCTGTAAAGTGGCTTCTTTGTGTTGTTTTATTCATTTGTTTATTTTACTTATTTATTTTTTTGAGACAGGGTTTCTCTGTGTGGTTCTGGCTGTCCTGGAACTCACTCTGTAGACCAGACTGGCCTCAAGCTCAGAGATCTGCCTACCTCTGACTCCAGAGTGCTGGGATTAAAGGTGTATGCCACCACTGTTCAGTTTGAGACAGCATCTGTCTCTCTCTCTGTCTCTTTCTCTGTCTATCTGTGTGTGTGTGTGTGTGTGTGTGTGTGTGTGTGTGTGTGTGTCTGAGTATACCATGCTATTCTGAGACCCCACATGGTGTAACTAGGCAGGAAGGACAGCAACTTTCTCTCCGGGTACACCTCTTAATCACAACCTAATCTGGAGTGTGCAGAAGGCTTCTGTTAGGCAGGATTATGACATAAAGGCTCAGCACAGCTCCCTAAGCATTTTCAGGACTTGACAAAAGATACAGAGTATGACGTACAAGCCTGAAATTTGACAAAGACTGAGGATACTGGCATCTTGGCACATGCCTGTATTTCTGGCAGTCGGGAGAAGAGAGGGCACCCTTGCCCCAAGTTTCCTACCTTGGCTGACATTGTTCCTATGCATTTGAATAGTCTAAGAAAAATGCTACAAGGTCCCTTCCTTTCTGCATGCCCCTACTCTATGCCATTATTGCCATTGACCCTCATTCAGGGTCTGTCACCACGGGTTCCCATCACTTCCAGACCACCTTTCTCCTGTGCAGCGTGGCCTTTGAGATGGCCTTTCTCCTCTTGATGTCCACTGCCATTTCACCTAAGTTCCAACCTTTAGACATTGCATGCAAGGGTCTTGGTTACCCAGCCATGGTCTTCCCTGGTCTCACTGTCTGAGCCTTAAACCGCAGTGTTAGCCGGTGAGTGAGGCAGACACTTCCAGGAGCAAACACCTGTGTCACTGTATCTCCAAAATGTCCTTCATTTTCAGCTATCCTGCAAGCTGAAACGACCAAATACATTCCTGCACACCGTTTTAACATTTTAAACATGGTTCACGACTGCAAGCCAAGCATGCCAACATGTGTCTGCTGTCTTTCAGAAATGGATGACTGTCAACTAAGCACCTTTGGGAATGGATCCTCTAATCAAGCGTGCTCAGGAATGTGCCTTCCTTTGGGGATGTGCATGGGCCCCCCAAGAAGAAATATATACATCAGGTGTCTTACTTAGGGTTTCTCCTGTTGTGGTAAAGACCATAACCAAAAGCAATTTGATGAGGGCAGGGTTTATTTCAGCTTACAACTCTTGAATCACAGTCCTCCGTCACAGAGGAAACTCAGGTCAGGAATTGGAGGCAGGAACCAAAGGCAGGAACTCAAGTAGAAGCCATGGAGGAGTGTTGCTACTCTCTCTCTCTCAGGCTTGCTTCCCCCTGACTTGCTCAATTTGTTTACTCATACTGCCTAGGACCACCACCTGCTCAGGGGTGGCACCACCTACTGTGAGCCCCCACCTACATCAATCACCAATAAAGCAAATACCCCAGAGGCTTGCCCATAGGCCAATGCCATGGGGAAATTCTCTCACTTAATATCCTTTCTTCCTAAATGGCTCTGTGTGTCAAGCTGACAAAGAAAGCAGTGCCTCGGGGGGTCAGGGAAGAGTTGTTTCAGCTTGGGAGCCTCGGAAGGTACTGTGGGGAAGGTATTTATTGTGGCGAAGATACTGTGGGGTGCTATGGGGAAGGTACTTATTGTGGTGAAGGTTTTATGGGAAGGTATTCGTTGTGGGGAAGGTATTGTGGGATATCCAATTAGCTTCTTTTGTTAAAGAAGGACTGTTCTTTCTGTGCATTCCTTACCTGGTGCAGATAATAAGTCTCTCCCACCTCTCATGCCTAGCTGGCTGCTTTGGGCTTTGCTCTTACCAAGATGGGAGCATACTGTGTTCTGTTAAATGTTGTGTTATCCTGCTGTGTTGAGTGTTGAGTGGCTTGCAATTTTTTGAATATGTGCTGTTCTTATGTCATCAGTGCCTGGGGTTCGTTCATTCTCTCTCTCTCTCTCTCTCTCTCTCTCTCTCTCTCTCTCTCTCTCTCTCTCTCTCTCTCTCTCTCTCTCTCTCTCCCTCTCCCTCTCCTTCTTTTTCAGCTTCCAAACTGAATTGTCACAATAGCATCTCTGCCCCATTCCTGGAAGCTGCTCTCCCTTGGGATCCATACCATACCACCTGACTTACAACAGTTATTTTTGGCAGGTGAGGTATCAGTTCTTTTCTATGCTGTGATAAAATACTTGTAGAAGCATTCATTTGGTTCCAGAGTCTTCGGTGGCAGAACGAGACCTGGTGGAGAGCTAGAAGCTGAGGGTTCGTGTCTCAAACCACAGGCACCAAGAATAGAGAGAGCAAAGTCAAATGGCTTGAGTCCTTAAACTTTAAAAGCCTACCTCCAAGGACCGGCTTCCTGCAACAAGGTCAGAATCTCTAAACCTTAGCACCATCAATTAGGGACCAAGTGTTCATTCACATGCCTGAGACTACAGGGGACACTTGCATTGAAACCATCACATGTGTGGTGTCCTCTCTGTACAAACTAATGTGTTCAAGCATAGGACACCCCCCTTTCTGTGCTGAGCATATGTTGGACTCAGTAAGTGTGTTTACAGAGTGGTGAGCAGAATGCCGGCTCATGAAATAAGCTACAGAGTGGGTTTCGAACTCCTGGAACAATGTGACATATAATGTTTCTGGGGTAGTTCCATGGCAGGCTTTCTAGTAACTTGCAATAAGAGCTAATGAAATAGCATTTAAATTTGGTGTTTGAAAGGAAGCAGACAGCTTTCTGAAGAGTTACAATGCTGTTATGGGTCCTGAGTCTGTAAAGTCGCCACGAGACGCACTCCTCAGCTACCGTCCACCACCAGCACGCAGGGATTGTCCCTGCTAGTTTTGCTTCCTCTCTTCTAGTGTTTCCTGTTTCAGAAGGGAATGCATTCACACTTCTAAAAAAGCAGTTAGTTATCTTTAGCTTTCTTTTAAGTTTGGCTCATGTTCCCACAACAGTTACTTCATGGGGGTTTCCAGTCTTGGGAATAGAAGTAATAATTTAACTTTCTATTACAATACTTACCACGCCACAGGGAAGAGCCCCAACCTTCCCTTCACTGTGTGATGTTTCACTTATTTAAGAGCACATTAAAGGAGAAAGCAGCCTGGCTGAAAGGGAAAGCTACCTTCTTTCTCCCTTCCACTCTTGGCTCCCGGCTCCCCTTGGCTTTTGTCCTCAATCCACAAGGCCCTGCTTTTTGGACATCTTACAGCTGAAAACAAACTGCATTTATTTGTTTATTAGCTTGTTTCTCACGCCATTTTGTGTTGTATAGAGAAAAAAAAGCTGCAGATAAAAATGATTGCATTGGAGCCAGGTATGGTGGTATACACCTTCAATTCTAGCACTCAGGTAGTGGTAGGTGGATGTCTGAATTCGAGGATAGCCTGGTCTACGGAGCAAGTTCAAGGACAGCTAGAGCTACATAGAGACCCCTGCCTTGAAAGCAAACAAAGGAAAACAAGAAAAAAGATTGAATTGAAGAGGACCGCAGACTAGACCGTGCGGAGCCAAGAGGCAGGAAGCAGCCTGGGTCAGCGAGGCCTGTGGGGCGGTAGCGCAGCAGTGTGGGCAGCCTGCCCTCGATCCAGTTCTTCCTTCCTCCGTCCAGTTCTTCCTTCCTCCTGGGGGTTACGGTGCGTTGGTTTCCAAAGGCCCGATTATAACGGTCACCTCTTCCCGTGAGACAGACTTCGTCTGTGCACAGATGGCCCCCTTGTGCACCTACATCTTCCTGGGAGAGACCACTGCAAGATCACTTCAGAACTTCCCTGCAAACCAAGCAAGTGACGACTCACTCTTTTGTGTTATGTATATTGTAGCTTCAGGCCACTTCTCTTGTCACATGGGATGAATGAACGAGAGCTTATAGACCCTGAGGGTTACCCAGGAGACATGTCTAGCAGGAAGGCAGGGATTTCCCGTGGCAGTGCCTCTTCCAGACTTGGCATTCAGGTTACTATAGCCCCCGAAAAGTGTTAAGAGATGTGTGAGACCCCAACGGGAACAAGTCCTTTACTGCCTGCCACCTCCTGCTGGTCACTCACTGGCCCAGGCTGTGCTCACCACTGAATGCCGCTGATCCCGCTTGATTCCCCTCAGCCGTAGCAAGCAGACTGCTTGTTCTAGCCTGGCATTGCCTAAAAGAAGTACAGTGAGCGGGGGCATGGTGACACATGGCTGTATGCCCGGTACTCAAGAGGTTGAATCAGGACGAGTCCACCTGTGAACAACCTGGGCTGCATAGCAAGACTCTGTCACAAACAAACAAACCCAGACAAACAGAACTGAGACTATGAAGGCGGGAGAGGGCCAGCCCAGCATGCATGAATCTCCAGGTTTGATCCCCAGGCCTGCACAAACCAGGCTCCCTGGCACCTGCCTGTAATCCCATCACTGCTGGACGTGGGAGAATTCAAACCCATCCTTAGCTGCATAACTAACTGGAAGTCAGCCTGGGCTACATGAGGGGGAAAAAAAGTAGATACCATTAGCAACGTGGATAATTTGAATCTTGCTGAGTCTGGTGTGGTGGCTCTCACCTTTAGTCCCAGGGCTTGGCCTTAGCTGGAGGCTGCCCCAGGAGGCCAACTTGGTCTACCTAGCAAATTCCACAGCAGCCCAGACTACAGAGATCCTACCTCAAAAGCAAAACAAAACAACAACAAAAAAGGAAAAAAATAAAAACTTTCTGGTAGCCACATTTTAAGAAAAAGAAACAAGTGAAATAATGTGACTAATTTTATCTTAGTTAGCCCCGTGTATCTAAAGGGCACACTTTCCTACTGTGTTTGAAATCCTCTAAGTATTTTATATGGACAGCCCTTAGCATTTGCATACTCCACTTTCGCCTCAAATAATTGATCTATATTTAGATCTCATGAAATGTCAAGTGCAAAAATAGACGCAAATACTTCCGTTGTTTCCAAACATTGAAAACTTTCCACTGAGCCAATCGTGGCTTTAAAATGAAAGAAAACTAAATGCCCTGAGACATCTCGCTTTGCTCTTCACAGTGCTCCGTATGCGGGAAAGGCGGTTCTGGCTCTCCTCGGAGAAAAATTTTCCTCTTCACCAGCTCCCTCCCTCCTGCCTTTGCCTAGATCCAAGCAGAAATCCTCACCTGACCACTCTGTTTAATAGAAATTAAACCCCCAGTCTCCACTGCACACTCTGATCCTGTTCGTTCCACGGTACTTTCATCTCTCCTGCCGAATGATTGCCAACTTGTGATCCGATCTGGGGCTCCTCCCGGCTTCTACCACTGACTAGCTGTAAGCTCCTTGAAGCAGCCGGTTTCCTTCACTGATAATATCTCAGCATCTGAGGCTCAGGAATTGGGGCTTTAGCTCAGTGGCTGAGTGCTTGCCGGCCTTGGCCCTGGGCGGGGGGGGATGCAGATTAGGTTTCCTAGATTAATCTGTAAAGGCTTGTTAAGTTGTTAATAAGTATACGCTACATTCAGTAAAATTGGTAAAGATTTAAAAGCACGGTTGGCGGAACCTCTTGAAGGCAGCCCCGGTGTATTCTTTGTAGTTTGTGCTGTTGAAGCTGGAAGCAGTGGACGAAGGGACGAGATGTGGGCAAGAAGCTTACAGTTACAAAGACAGGGGTCACGGTGCGCAGTGCGGGCGTTTCCAAAACTGGACGTTAACTTAGAATCCATGCTGTCTGTGCTGTTTCGAATGAGGATTCCTCAGCAGGCATTTCAGTCATATGCGTCTGCATCATTAACTTTCTGACATAGGTGACGCGGAGAGAACAAATAAGAATACCATAAAACCTGTGCTATGCAATTTGAGATTGGGGATGGCGATAACTCCAGCAGTTCTTTTATTATTTGGGATTGTGTAGTTATCATGTATGTATGTGTATGTATGTGTTTCATATGAAGCTGAAAATAATCTTCTCACGTTCTTTGTAAAAGATTGCATTGACTCTGTAGATTGCTTTTGGTAGGATGGACATTTTTGCTATATTAACCCTGCCAATCCATAGGCATGGGAGATCTTTCTTCTGAGAGTTTCAATTTCTTTAATGTCTAAGATTTTTTTTTCATGCAAGTCTTTACCTTGCTTAGTTTGAATTACCCCAGGATATATTTTTTGAGGCTATTGTAAAAGGGGCTTCCCTGATTTCTTTCTCAGCCCCTTGGCTGTTTATATATAGAAGACTATTGATTTTTGTATCCTGCTGCTCTGCTGAACATGTTAATCAGCTGGGTGAGTTCCCTGGGAGAATTTTTAGGGTCACTTATGCATGCTATCATATCATCTGCAGATAAAGATACTTTGACTTCTTCCCTTCCAATATTTATCCCCTTGACCTCCTTCGGTTGTCTTATTGCTCTAGCTAAGACTTCAAGTACTATATTAAATAGATATGAAGGGAGTGAACAACCTTGTCTTGTTTCTGATTTTAGTGAAATTGCTTTGAATTTCCCTCCATTGAAGTTGAGGCTGGTTATGAATTTGCTGTAAGCCACCTTTGTTATTATTAAGTTTAAGTGCATACCTTGTAACACTGATCTCCAGGACTTTTATTGAGAACAAGTATTGGGTTTTGTCAAAAAGCCTTCTCCACATCTCATCATATTATTGTGTGATTTTTGTCTTTCAGTTTGTTTATATAGTAGATTACATTTATTGATTTTTCTACATTGAACCATCCTTGCATTTCTGGGATGAAGCTTACTTGATCGTGATGGTTGATTTTCTTTATGTGTTTTTAGATTCTGTTTGAAATTTCTTGAGAATTTTTGCATTTATGTTCATGGGGGAGATTGGTCTGTAACTCTCTTTCTTTGTTGGTTCTTTATGTGGTTTAGGTATCAGAGTAATTGTGACCTGATAAAAAATAATTGGGCAATGTTCCTTCGGTTTCTGTTTTGTGGAGTAATTTGAAGAGTATTGGGGTTAACTCTTCTTTGGAAGTCTGGTGGAACTCTGCACTAAAGCCATCTGATCCTAAGTTCTTTTGAGGGGGGCAGCTGGAGACTTTTAATTACTACTTCTATTTCACTGTGGGTTACAGATCTGCTTAAATTGCTTATCTGATCTTGAGTTTGGTAGGTGGTGTGCATTGAGAAAGTTATCCGTTTCGTTTATATTTTCTAATTTGCTGGGGTTCAGGTTTTTATATCTCCTGT